AAGACCGGTGCTCAAGACTTTTATATTAAGACGTAGAATAACAGTTACTATAAATTTGCGTTTTAAAGCTTATATTTGCATCCTCTAGATTTTTGTGGATATGCATATTGGTTTTCCTCAGCTGTTGGAAAAAATTGAGGAATTGTATAAATGGCCTACCATTACTATCTTTTCTTCGTAGATCCGGAAGTTCACATTCCCCTGGAGAATCTACAGCAGTTTCCTGCCTTCAATTCATATACCTGCTCTTCTGATTCTGCTTTGGGTCCTACCAGCACTGAAGGCCATGGACCCCTCTCCCTTTCTCCTCTTAGCAGAAGTCCAGGTTCTCATGCAGGTAAATAGTTGAGATTTAATGAATTCAGCCACTAGGTAGACCTGAAGTAAAACACCTGTTTCTACATTCACAACTCTGACCTACTGGGCATAGTATGGATATTGGGCAAATAACCTTACTCTGGGTAGTTCTAAGCTACATCACATTTTTGCTGTTTGATTTCCTTCTCCAATTGGCTGTGCTGATTTCTTATACCCTGTCCGCTTCTCAGAATTTCAAGGTGGCTCATTAGGAATGTAGGAAGCCTACATTCTTTCTTGTAACTCAGCTGTCTTATTTCTTCTAGGTTTTTTTTTTTTTTGGTCTTTTTGAGACAGGGTCTCACTGTGGGCAGGCCTTGAGCTTACTTTGTAGCCCAGGATGGTCTTGAACTTGCAACGATCCTCCTGTCTCAGCCTCCCAAGTGCTGGGATTACAGGTGTGCGCCACCACGCCTGGCCATTTCTTCTAGTTTTTAGATGTGAGATCCTTCCCCTGCATACTTTAGCATCCTTGTATGTGTCTCTTTATTGTGGTAGTATTTACAGCAGCAAAAAAGAAATGACCTACACAAATGGTGTAGGTAAACTTTTCCCTACTTTACTGGTAGGTAAATAGCTAAATTATAGTATTGATGCTATGAAATACTTTACATTTATTGAAGAAGGAAATCGCTGTCTTGGTGAACTAATGGGAAGATAAAAAGAAAGTTGTAGAACAAAAACAGTGTGTATGGGAGAAGCACAAAACAAAACTTTTCATTGTGGGTTTATATATCTAAGTGTATAGAATATCAGACAGGTTGTTTGAAGAACCTTTGCACTTTTGCTCTCCCATAAAAAATACACACACACACACA